CTTTAAATTCATCATAGACTTCTCAAAATGCTGTAAGAGATATGTTACAAAATGATTATTGATATTTAACCTCCCACACTTGACACACCATGCCATATCTCTTTCCATCAACTGGATGAAAGATAACTTTAACGTTGGTAGCAAAGAGTCTAAATTCAAAAATGTAAAGAGCAATTCTTGACTCCCTTCTTGGAAGACAGCCATTCACTGCTTAGAAATATTCTTTGTGAATTTCCTTGAGTAAGAAACACATGTCTATCATGTTTGAGCCATAACACATTTTTGAATTAATTTATTATAAAATGCAGAGAGAATTTTAAGGATGCTGTCATCTTCAACAAATAATTTAATAATTATCTCATGAATAATCTATTTATTTAAGATATAGGTAAGCAAGGAGCTTATTTGTCTTATATTCCAAGTATTCTCAGTCAGTAAAACACTGTCCCGAATGTAGTAGGTGTGCAGTAAGTGTTTATTGAATAAATATCACTACTTTTTAAACTACTCGGGAGGCTGAATCAGGGGAATCGCTTGAACCCAGGAGGCGGAGATTGCAGTGAGCAGAGATCACACCACTGCATTCCAGCCTGGCGACAGAGCAAGACTCCGTCTCAAAATAAATAAATAAATAAATAAATAAATAAATAAGCAATAAAAATTACAGCAGAGGAAATGCATAATACTGCTAAAGCAAGGGGTCTAAAATAAAGAGGTAGCAGGGCGATAAAAAATTGATATACACTTGACTAAACAAGAAGAACATTTGCCACTGCTTGAATGCTGGAGTGCAAGAGAAAGAGAATTCCCAAGATTATTTGGAAGATTCTATTTGAAACGCTAAGTAGATGGTTGTGCGATTTGCAGAAAGGGTAAATTGGAAGAAGAACATCTTTGGGGGAAGATGATGAGTTTAGCTTCGTGCATAATCAGTTTGAGATAATTAAAGAAGACCAATAGACAACTAAAGAGAGATGTTGGGAAATCAAAAGAGTGGTTTGGACTTGAGAATATGAGGTAGGAAAAGGTAGTCTATAGATGAAACTTAAGCTATGGGAATGGATGAGATTGTTCAAAGACAGCATCTCTGAGTAAGCATCAATTCCTGAGAAATCTCCATTGTCCTCTCCATCAATTGACATTGTGGATCAGTGGTTAATACTAAAGGAGATGGGCTCAAGGGGTATACTTGCTCTGAAAATGCCATTCATTACTGGCAAGAAAGGAACAACTGCTAAGAAGCCTTGCATCCTATGTTCACTTATAGAATGATACTCTGAGGAAAGATGAATGCTATTAAAACAGTCACTTATCAATCCTGAAGGTTATTCTCCCAAATACACTGTGTATTTGTCACTAACAATTCCTTTCATACTCTAGCTGATTATTCATTTCAAGCTGTAACTATCTGGAAATAATGGGATTTGCTGATTAATGCCCTAAACTGAAAATCATCTCTAGAAATAGGTATATCTTCATAACTCCAAAACTCAGCATAACCACGAAGGAGCATTTTCACCATGATGCTGTCCATCTCAGAGCTGACTGAGCTATGAAGCAAAAAAAAAAAAAAAAAGAAGAAGAAAAAGCATATGTTTAAGAAAAAGTCATCTCCACTGGGAACCCAGCCTTGCAAAGATTTATTACAGAATAAAGTAATTAAGTGATACTCTTTCACCCAGTCATAGGGTACATACCTCCAGCATGAAAACTTAGATAAATGAGTAAAGTTACTCAGAAGAACATGTTTAGAGATTAGGAATGTTTAAAGGTGAGGGATCAGAGAATTCGTACAACTCACAGAACCTTTTGCTCTTCTTTTGGGAAAAGGCAGTTAATAGAAATGTCCCCCTGATCCCTGAATCACAGATACTTGTGAAAATCAATAATATTTCCCCCCCAAGTCTTGAAACTATTCAGAAAATGGCAATAAATATTTGCTAAGATGTCTGTGATATGCCAGGCTCTATGCTTGCCACTGAGGCTAAAATAATAAACAAAAACTAAGCTGGGTGTGCTGGGTGCACTGGCTCATGCCTGTAATCCCAGCACGTTGGGAGGCTGAGGTGGGTGGATCCCCTGAGGTCAGAAGTTTGAGACCAGCCTGGCCAACATGGTAAACCCCATCTCCACAAAAAATACAAAAATTAGCTAGTCATGGTGGCAGGCACCTGTTATTCCAGCTACTGTGGAGGCTGAGGCTGGAGAAATGTTTGAACCCAGGAGGTGGAGGTTGCAGTGAGCCGAGATCGTACCGCTGCACTCTAGTGACAAGAACAAAACTCTGCCAAAAAAAAAAAAAAAAAGAAGTGCCCAGAGTCCTCCTGGAGTTATATGTATGATTCAGGATAGAAAATTTACACAAATAACCATCTTAAAATAAAAAATAGAACCTCTTCCAATCTATGATAGATGTTATGATCAGGAGGTAAGTGGCATTATTTATGCCATATATTGATGTCTTGAATGCACAGCCACTATTAATGTCACAGCACCTTCTTAGCTTTGTGGTATTGGGCAAGTTATCTCTGAAAAGTGGGACTAAGTTATACTAATTATAGTAATTTAATAAGACTGTTGTGGGGAATAAATGAGAAGATACTAAGGGCTGACACACAGTAAAGACCTCCTAGAAAGCTAGCTGTTACTAGAAAAGCAAATAATCGGAATAATGCAAGCCAGTCAGTTTCAATAAATGCTTCCATGGGGCAGTGACATCTGGCTGCATCATAAAAAGTTAGGCATAGATTGAAGAGAAGAGCATTCTGATAAGAGGAAATAGAGTGAGATGGGGTAAGTGCAGACATGGAAATGAGGAAAGAGACTGCATCAAGGGCTTAGCACTCCACTCCACAATGCTAATGCACTCCACGAGGAGGCTGGATAGGTAAGAAGGACATGGAGAATAACTTTTTTGGTCGTGTTAAAGGCCAACACAGGAAAGCTATTGTTTTGTTTTAAATAGAGGTATGACTTATATGCCCCCCAAATTGTCTGGCTCCAACAGTGGTGACTCCAAAATATTTTTGTGAGAAGAGCTTATGGATGATTGTCTGATTGAGGAAGGGGAGATTCAAGAGAAGTAAAGGAATTGTTTTGAACTGTGTGTTTTTGTTTTGTTTTGTTTTAGATTCTACTATTTGATCTAGATATATGTTGACTAGGTTGATTGAAAACACATTGTGTTTAGCTACTTTTTGGCTTCAGGGGATCAAGTCAGGTTAGGTAGTAAAAAAGACTCCTAGATTGAGCTACTCCTTTAAATCTTTCCTTTCAGTGACCTCACAGACATCACTGCTGATTGCCTGTTGCTGTCACAGACATCACTGCTGATTGCCTGTTGCTGTCCAACATAAATTATCCAAGGTTCTTAGCAGGGGCGCTAATTGGCTCTAACAGCTTCATTGAAGGTGAGGATACTCATGAGCTGCCCTAATCGTCACATAAATTACATAGACTGGAGAGACTTTTACAGTCTTGATTTGATTATTTATAGGTTTTGTACTTTATATGGAGTTAAAGAAACATTATATGGGTTATGATTTGTATTCCCTGGACTTTTATCCTTTATTCTGTATCATGATTCTATGTGTCTACAAATGAAGGTATCAATAAAATTATTATACGTGCAGGAAAAATGTATTGCTTGCTCATTCATTGGCAAGAATTGGGTTTAGCCCTTTGTAAACTCATTTCATTCTTTCAAGGACTCTATGTGGATGGTGTTTTTAATTCCTTTTTACATATAAGGAATTTGCGCCTCAAAAAGGTTAAGATAATTTCCAAATGATCACTGAGTTTATGACAGACCTATCTTGACCTCAAACTTGTTCCCTTGAATACTGAGCATACTGCCAAACTATACTCAAAATGTAATTCCCTGTGTATTATTCCGAGACAATGTCTGAGACTGGGCAATTTACAAAAGAATGAGGTTTAGTGGACTTACAGTTCTACATGGTTGGGGAGGCCTTACAATCATAACAGAAGACAAGAAGGAGCAAGTCACGTTTTACATGTATGGCAACAGGCAAAGAGAGAGAGCTTGTGTAGGGAAACTCCCATTTTTAATACCATCAGATTTCATGAGACTTATTCATCATTATAAGAACAGAGTGGGAAAGACCCGTCCCTGTGACTCACTTATCTCCCACAGGATCCCTGCCACAACACATGGTAATTATGGGAGCTACAAGATGAGACTTGGGTGGGGACACAAAGCCAAACAATATCACCCTCAAAATGTGTTTTCTCAATTAAACCATCTGATTACAAATGAGAATAGCTGTAACCTTAATCACTTATCTCAAATAAACACTTCCTGTCACTGGCATATACCTCCTCTGTAGAAGAAAATAACAAACATTCCCATTTACTGTATTTGGTGTCAACCTATAATGATTCTTTTCTCCACAATTTATGACTGACAAATTCAAGAAGGAGAAGAATCCCATTAAGTTTTATTTTACTTTGCTAAAGAGCTTGGAAAAAGTGCGCAAACCTAAAAAATTCAGGAAATTCATTGGCCTTTGTTCCTGGCACCCAATCCTTTGCTAGCACCTATGCCAGAAATTTTAGAAATCGACATGAGTTAACAAATTAGAAGACATCCTGAGGCATCTAGAAGACAATGCTTCATTATTTAACACTATATACACAGGGAAAAGATAGCCTAAGCATAATTAATAACCAGTGTTTTGCTCTGAAGGGTGCAAAGCAATGACATGCCATCACTCTATCTTGACTCCACAAATCTCCATTCCTCAGACATTAAGTCATACCTTGTTGCACCCTGCCCTTGTGGACTTGAAATGCTATCAGTGCTTTTATGAATAGTTTTTTTTTGTGGAAGCCTGATGTCTGGCAATGGAGTATCTGCTATGGATTTTCTCTATTATTTTCCCAGAAAGGAAGTTTTGTTTATTATGTTGAGTAATTGTCATAGACCTGGGCCTGAACAACTAGATGAGAACATTACAAAGAAGAAATGCTATTTAAAATTCTGAGTGGGGACTTCATTTTATTCCCATTACATCAGACTCTCAGTGCTAAAAGCACCAAAGCAGGCTGTACATGTCTCTACAAGATTGCAAATGAACTAAACCAAAAGGAAGGGAAAGGAAGGGACTTTCTTAGTTACATTACAATTATCATGACCTTAATTATTATTGATGAATTATCCTCTGTTGGTACGGGGAGAGAAAGAATAAGAAGCAAGTAATGTGAGAGAATGCAAGATTTATTGTAAACCTATCAGATTAATCAGGTTTCAAACAATCAGTTTTTTTACAAGAATGTCTTTTCCCTTGGAAGAAGCTCTGGGAAGTCTCTGAAGTGCTCCAGAGTTCCATCTTCACTCTGTGGAGGGAGAAAAGTGTTATTGGAATGGGCCAGCTCAGATACAAGAGCCTGCATCTGGGCTCTTAGGAGGCCTAGAAATACAAAGACATAGGCTACAGAGAATGGCCTGTAGACTAGTCCCATGCAAGTAGACTATGTTACACAAAAGAAAAGGCAAAGGAGATGACTTCCAAAGAGAATCTATACATAATTTTATGCAAATATAATTATTTAGAGCATATTTAATTCTATGTGCACACTCAATCTATTCTTTGACAATTCCATCATCATTGTATATTCTGAAAAGCACTTAATAAGAAGATGGGGTAAGAGCAGGGTGGTAGGTAAAAAAGAGCTTTTACCTTCTCTTCTAATAAATACATGGGCTTCTTAGGCTCAAGAGGGAGCAATGTACAACATCGCTCCAGGACCATTCCAAGGATTCAGGATAAAAACATCTAGACTCTTTAAATGAACTACAGTAATGATCTACCACCTACATAGAACTAGAGATGAGCTGTAGTCAGCAGAGGGTACTGACAGAATAGGTACAAGGGACACAGAAAAGTAAAGAGAAGAGACACAAGCTAGAACCATGCATAAAGGAATGGGGTCTGAGTCTGAAATGATAGGAACCCTATTATCAACTGACAAGACAAGTGAAGAAAATCATAATTGAATTGAAGATACAGGCACTATGTGGACATTAGGTTGAATCATTCCACCTTACCTTTGTGCAAACCCATCTTTGCAGCAAGTTGAGGGTCTCCTTCACCAAGATGCTTGATAAATTTGAGGCAAGACTTGGGTCCTTTTCCGATAACAAGGTCAATCAAGACTCGAGCCTTATCCATGACAGTGCCATTTTCATCTCTCACTTTGTTCATGTCTTCCTGGCTAATAATTTCATCCTCTAATAGGCAATCCAGAAAGGCATTTATTGTGCCTGCACCCACTGAATGGATAAAAATTCTTCTCTTTTTACGCAAGAGTTGGTCTGTTGGAAGCACAAAGATTCCTCAAATAATGAACACGACACAATTTCCCTCTCAATTTACCAATAGGGAAACAATCATTTAAACATTTCTCTCCACGAGTACAGTAATCCCACGGAATGGTCTTATACCTTTGCATTTACTCCATGTACTTCCTTCTGATTCTAGCATTACCTACATATGCTCACTGAGTGACCTGGGAAACTTGATTTCATGATTTTTCTGTTAATTTCCTAAAAATCAGAAGTCATTCTGTTCTGACACATCCCAATTTCTTGAATTTTGAAGGGAATTGACAGTTTCATGAATTTTGAAGGGAATTGACTGTTTCCTTTGAGAACAACAGCTGCTGATACCCATCCTGTGCCCATTCTCATCCTGAACTACGTAACTCTTCAAATGTGGACAACACTAGCAAAATTATAGTAGATACCAGTAGGATCCCAGATTCTTCCTGGCCTTTATCTGTTCCTTCAAAAATGCTGTGCAAGTCTGGGCATCTTCCCACCCTGCCTCTCCCTTCTTCTTTCCCTCTCCACCTCAAGGCTGCTCACACAAACATTCACAAAGCCTAGTGAGAAAGGCAATCCTTTCCCAAACTAATTCCTCCCTAAGACCTATCCTCTCCTGGGGAAGACTTACCAGCCATGGCTCCTCACATCGGCTCTTGCAATGTGTGTTACAGTTGCAATGGCAGGCAAGGTAGTTCTATCCTTTCAGGCAGGGCGTGTACACAGATCAATGAATAATACTTACACCTACACATGTGTATTTATAATTATTTCCCAAGAAGCTGTTAACTATTGTCATTTCCCAAGGTATTTTTACATAATTGAATCTCAGATTGTAGCATGAACTGTGCCCATAAGAAAATTGCTTCACCATTCCTTGGTGGGTGAGAAATAAGAATCAGAGAGAAACGAGAAGGCACATACAGAGCTAAACACATACAGTAAACAATCTTTAATTCACTGAGATGTAAACAGAAAGTAAAATCAGAATATAGGGTAGTTTTTCCACCTAAATCAAGTACTAAGAGTTCTTTTTTTAAATTATGGCAAAATACACATAATATAAAATTTACCATCTTAGCCATTTTACAGTACCCATTTCAGTGGCATTAAGTACATTCACATTGCTGTGTAGCCATCAATACCATCCAACTGCAATTCTTTTCATTTTGGGAAATTGAAATTCTATACTTATTAAACTGTAACTCTATATTCTTTCCTTCCATCAGCCCCTGGCAACTACCATTCTACTTTCTGTCTTTATGAATTTGACTTCTCTAGGTATCTCATGTAAGTAGAATTATACGGTATTCATTTTTTGATGCCTGACTTATTTCACTTAGCGTAATGTCCTCAATGTTTATTCATGTTGTGGCATGGGTCACAATTTCCTTTCTTTTTGAAGTTGAATAATACTCCATTCTATGTATGTACCACATTTTAGTTTACACATTCTTCACTGAGCACAGATTTCTTCCCCCTTTTTGCTATTGTAAATAACACTGCTATGAACATGGTGTACAAATATGTTTTTGAGATTCTGCTGTCAATTATTTGGAATATATACCCAGAAGTGGAATTGACAAATTGTAGAGTAATTCTATTTCATTTTGTTTTGTGAAATCGGTATGCTGTTTTCCATAGCAGTTGCAGTATATTACATTCCCACATATAAAGCACAAGCATTCCAACTTGTCCATGTCCTTGCCAATACATATTATCTTTCTATTCTTTTGATTATAGCCATCCTAATGGGTGTGAGATGGACTAAGATTTCTTACCTTCCTTTCATTGTTTTTCACCTAAGCTCTAGGCTGTCTGCAGACACAGAAATGGTGTATGAAGCAGTTTTGCTATTTGGAATGAAAGTGTTTTATTATCTAAGGCCCTTTATCTTCAGATGGCACCATTTTAAGTAACGCTGTATCACAAAGATTAAGGGCACAGACTCTGAAGCCAGAATGGTTGGATCCACATTTTAACTTCTGATCTCAGGAAAGAAAATTAACCAAGCCTTAGTCTTCCTATCTGCCAAATAGGTTTGATGAAAATTCCTACGTTGCAGTTTTATTGTGAGTATTTAATGAACAAATATAAGTTATCAAAATAGCCCCTGGCATAAAGGAAGCACCTCAATTATTATATGTGTCTATGTAAAATCCCTTATTCATCTCATCAATTCATTCAACATAAATATTCAGCCTAGTTATTTACTGAGACCCAAGTCTATGTGCCATACATTATTATAGATGCTGGGGATATAGTAATGATCAAAAACAAACAAAAATTTCCACCCTATTAGAAATTGTATTATAGTAGGAGAGAGACACATATACTCATTAAATGTATACAAAATATTTTAAGAGTTCTTTAAGGAAAAAATATTCTCAGAAGATTTGAGGAATCACGTCTTCACTAAAATACTTGTATTAGTTTACATATGTGACATAATTTGATAAATATTTAAAATCTGGGCAAGGTGCTACAGTTTAAGTGCCCATGAGCCCAAGAATACATCCAATGAGGTGAATTGGAGAGGGGAGGTTGTGCCTACCTGGTAAGGGGCAGGGCTCCTCAGACCCAACTAGTTTTGGCTAAGAGAATGAAAATTCAGTTTACTCTTTCATTTTGAGGGTACTGTATCTCTAATTTTAAAAATACTTTCAGTTGGTTTACTGTTGTTTTAAAACACTGTGAAAATTAAACAAAGCTTGACTGTGGTTCACATTTCACCTGCAGTCTGCCGATTTACTTTCTTCTTTCTTGGCAAATAATTGCATTTATTTTCTTGGGAATAGACATTTCTATCTTGGTAGTATATAGTCAAACATTGTGGAGATTTTAATCTTTGACTTCTTTGACTTTTTTTTTCTTTTTCTCCCTACTTTTCCAATTTAGCTTATAGCAAGCTCTTGCTTTAGGGAATATTTATGGCAAGATAGAAATTAGAGATGGTCTGAATGACACTGGGATCTGGAACAAGACGAAGACAAGGCACAAAAAGAATGAAACATCACTGTGGAAATCACAGAGAGAAGAATATTATCCTGGTTCTCCACCAGCCAGGAAAGCACACCAGTCTATGGAAGTACAGGAGATGGTGCCTGACAATAGCTGATGGCCAACTGATACCTCTAGAAAGCAAAACTGTAAGCATGAGGATTCCCAAACTCACATACGCTTCCCAGATCTCTTGAAGTTAAGCAGAAAACTCTTAGATATGCCACTCTACGGCTGACTTCAAAATGAAAGTGCCCATGATTATAATGTTTGAATGGAAAAGGGAGGATTTCCTTTTCCTATTTTTCTGGGAAACACTCAAGTATATGAAAGTCTGGTAAGACTACAAGAAGAGAATAGAGACCTCATAATGACTAAAAGTGGAATTATCTACTACCCTATTTGTAAAGGCACTTATTTCAGAACATAATTTGAATTGAGATATAATTACCATAAAATAAATCAATCACATGATAAGCAACAGGTAGTGTTTTAAACGATGAGTGATGACTTGAAAATTTAGATCTAGACTTATTTCAGATTTCTGATTTCTGGAATTGTATTTGCTGCAGACAATTCAGATTTATCATTATGAAAAGAGTATTTGTTACTTTTTGGGACTAGGGAGTAGTTATGACATGAAAGCATAAGTTGTCTAGTTGCCACCTTTACTTATGTCATTTATAACTCTTTGAAGATACTCAATTTACCATCTTTCATTTGTCTATTCTTGGGTATAAACATTCTGGAACATATCTAGTGAATATACATTAGTGGAAGCACAAATCAAATGTAAGATTTTTTTTTTTTTCAGAAGCTTTCTCTTCTTCCCAGATTTGGAGTCAAATCACCCATTGAAGTATACTTTGTTAATTGTTTGAGATGCTGAATGACTTAGTTAAACTATCTAAGCCTCAGTTTCCCCATTCACACACTTCCCTCATCTATATCATTACTGTTTCTAGATTTATCATGACTATTTAAGATAACAGATATAAAATCGTATATGTAATATCTGAAAGTGGCTGCTCTTACATTAGCAATAGTCTTGAAGGAAGAAGGTATCCTGGTACCTTATATTTCTTTATAAAATGCTTACAGATTTCTTTATAGTAGACAAGATGAAATATATGTCCATTTTATGAAAAATACTAATTACCACTGGTTCAGAGATGCACCTAGCACAAGGGGCCTCTCGCTCAATCCTAGGCTTCACGTGATATGCTACGTGTTCCTCATCCTAGCACTGTGGTTGATTATATGAAGAAAATCAGCTGGTAAAATAGGACTCAGTGCCCGCCTTTGAGGAATTTAAAATAATTTGGCACTGATAAGGCATAAGCACAGGAAAATATTGTATGACAATACAGAAGAAAATGGACTAAGATGGTATGAAGTATCAGAAATGGGAGAATTAAACATAATCTGAGGCAATCAGGAAGATTTTACACAGGTAACACAAAATGTTCCCAGAATCTGTAGGATAAAAACATTTAAATAAGCACTGAAAGAGGTTGCTAATTTGCTGATAGCTTGCCCTGTTCTAGGTAATAGAGTAGGTTGTTTAACTAGCCAGACAACACTAGAAAAACAGCATTTGCATTCTAGCTTTGCAGATGAGCAAATTAACGCTTCCAGAAGATGAACCTCTTACTCAAGATAATGAAGTCAGGAGATGTGAAAAATGTGATTTGATTACTTAAGTTGAAGGACCATAACGGTGTATCTGTACAAAGTAGAGCTGAGAGACCTGGACAATTCAGACACTGAGAATAATAGGAACAAAATCAAGAGGAGCAAATCATGGGAATGAAGGAAAGGACATAATGGCTTTTTATTTATTTATTTTAGATTCAGGGGGTGCATGTTCTTGTTTGTTACATGAGTATTACATGCATAATTGTGGAGCTTGAGCTTCTAATGAATCACCCAAATATTAAACGTTGTACCTAACAGGTAATTTTTCATTCCTCCCACCCTTTCCCATGTTAGAATCCCCAGAATCTATTTTCTCCATCTTTATGTCCATGTATCCCCATTGTTTAGCTCCCAACCTCTATAGAAAACTCAAATAACTGAAAATAGAACTCTATAGATACCCCAAAGAACTAAAAATAGAACCATCATTTCACCCAGCAATTTCACTACTGGGTATCTACCCAAAAGAAATGAAATCATTATATTAGAAAGACACTTGCACATATATGTTTATCCCTGCACTACTTACAATAGCAACCTAAGTACCCACCAACAGTTGACTGAATAAAGAAAATGTGATATATATATATACACACACACACACACACACACATATACATATATGAATACTAAATACTATACAACCATAAAAAAAGCATAAAGTCCAGTTCTTTGCAGTAACATCGATGGAGCTTGAGGTCATTATCTTATTATCTTCAGTGAAGTAACTCAGATATGGAAAATCAAATACCACGTGTTCTCACTTATAAATGGGACCTAAACAATGGGTACCATCAACATACAGAGGGGAGTAATAGACAGTGGAGACTCCAAAAGGTGAGAAAATGGGTGGAGGATGAGGTTTGAAAAAATACTTATTGGATACAATTTCACTATTCAGGTGCTGGGTGCACGAAAACCCCAACTTCACCACATTGCAGC